AGAAAACTCTCAGATGTCCTTCGCCCCTGGCCACAGCACTTTAGAACTCGCTTATTCATGCCCTGACTTATAGGTTTTGGTTTTCACATTTCTAAGACACAATTATTTCCTCATTATAAAAATTAAATCAGATGCATATCTGAAGTTCTAATGATAGAAACTATATGTGTGTTTTCCGATGTACAAATGTGTGGGCTCCTGAGGCAGAAAGCAAGTTTGAAACTAAGCAGAGGAAATCCTTTTTATGTTTTCTAATATTTCCCTAAGTGGTAACAAATTAGTTGCCAAGTATCTCTCTTTGGGTGGTGTGGTTTAGTGTTTCCAAGACTGGGAAAATAAACTTAACTTCTGATTTGTGATAAATTCTCGCCTGAGAATGAGACAGATTAGAATAAAGATGTAGATTTACTCTGAAGTAAGAAATTTCATGGACTGGTTTCTGGACATGTCTCCTTTGCAATGAACACCACTGAGTCATAACATGCAAGGAGTATTACCCGTTGTCGAAATGGCCATACATTCCTAAAGATATGGTGATTTTACAATGTTAAAATCACACTGTAAGCATTAAACATGGTGTCCTTTATGGAAGATTGCTAAAATCCAATAATTCAAGAGCAGATCATTTGATATATTGCCTAAATATTTTTCCTTACATACACATAACTTCCTCAATGACAGTTATTTTGAAGATATATTTGGCACAACATGATTCCTTACCTACCATCTCTAAGATTAAGTAATTAAACTGCTTAATCTACATTAAAAAGAGAGTGCTTTCACCTGGTGTGGCTCAGTGGCTGAGCATTGACCCATGGGCCAAGAGGTCACTGGTTCGAATCCTAGTCGGGGCACATGCCGGGTTGCAGTCTCGATCCCCAGTAGAAGGTGTTCAGGAGGCAGCCAGTTGATGTTTCTCTCTCATTGATATTTCTATCTTTCTAGCCCTCTCCCTTTCTTTATCTCTAAAAAAAATCAATAAAAACATACTTAAAAAAGAGAGCTTTCAGATATGTCAGCCAATGTGAATATGCATATTTCAGACATCTTTATGTCTAAATCAATTTGCATTGTATAAAATTCTAAAATCAGAAGTAGTCAAGTTGTTTGGCCAATGGTAGATTTTAGATAAAAAGAGGTATACATATATATTCATTCATTATATATGTGATGCTTTATATATAAATATTTATATTTTATATATAGAGAGTATCCAAAAAAATGTAAACACACACTTTGAATGGTTATAAGGGCAGTGTTTATTAACATGTATTTCATTTTCAAAATTGAGCTATCAGCTGTTAAAGTGTATATACATTTTTTGGGAAACCCTATATTTATGTTATCACTCATATTATGAATATAAAACATTTTTGTATATTGTAATGATTCACCTGTACGTTGCTTATGGCAATTATTGATAGTTAATTTTCAGAAATGCATTGGTTATGTATTTGAGATTTCAAATTTTATCTGTACTATATATCCTGGGAAAAGCTCAATTTTCTCACACACACAAACAAAGATGTGTGTGTGTGTATGTGTGTGTGTGTGATTTATGGTATAGAATGAACTGCAATACTGTAGTCATTTGATTGACTTTATATCATTTGAAAAAATATCTTATAAATTAAGATGCAAAATTAAACTATTTAAGATGACAGTATTTAGATGACAGTATTTAAGATGACAGTATTTAGATCCCTCCCTAAGGGAGCTTGTGCAATAGTCAAATGAGGCTATATGACTACAGCAAATGATTCTTAATGCTAAATTTAATGCTAAAGAAGTATTCCAATTTATCTGATGGTCACATGATTCTTCAGACAATCATACATTTAAAAAATTAGAAATTGGAAACTTTTTCTATAGGCAGAACTGTCCAGATTTTTAGCTGTTGGACTTCAGAATTGCTTTGTCTTTGCAATATAAACATGCTTATTTCTCAATTTTTCTCATCTGCATACCATTTGGATTAGTCCATTTTTCTGGTAGAGGGTGAATTCTGTTGAAGAGAAATCATGTTATATTGAGTAAAGGATTAAAATAAAGGTAAATAATTCCCTTATAATCTCAGATTGCTCCAGAAGACAAAAGTAAATCTTGGATCAATTATTTTTGCTTTGATTTCTTCTGCCCAGTGTCTCTAAAATTGTTTTCTGATACAAATATTTGTTTTTGGTTACACTCATTTATGCAAATAGGGGCAGTCTTTTATAATTTGCTTTAAAAAAAATCCTATAGCTTCTAATTCAATATATCTATTCTGGGATCCATTTTCTCTAAGATGCAGAAGTTTACCTACATTTATAGTTCTAAGGCTTGAGAAAACACTCAACAGTATTATTCTTTATTATACACAGGTTATTGAGGGGATTTTGCAAATATATACAAAAGATACACGTGGCAGAAATCCTCCTAATGCAACTCCCTTTCTTTAAAACGTTTCCCCCTCCTCTTCCCTCTCTGCTTCCCTCCTCTGCCTCTCACCCTTCACCTACCTTCTCTTCTTCCCTCTTTCTTTCGTTTTTTTTTTCTTTTTGGTCTAGCTAATCATACATTATGTGTCTCTTTTCTGTACCAACCTATTTATCTTTTTATTGATGTTACTTCAAAAATAATTTTACTATCATAAATTCTTATTTGACCCCTGCAGTTATTGTTTACTTTATGCTCATAGTTTCTGCTGCTAGTGCAAAAGTGTCCGTTCTATTTTCTTCACTGTCTGTGAACTGCTGCCATCAAAATTGCAGCCTAATCACAAGGTGAACAGCTTATAATGTATCACAATCAACACTCAAAATTTGCTCCCTAGGATGTGACATGAAGGAGTCAAGTAAAAAGCTGCAGATTTTCAGCAGTAAAGTGCAAACAATCATTTTATGTTGAAAATCAAGGTCGATTTTCACTTTCATATATCTGCATTATTCTATCACTTTCACTCTCTTTTTAAATTCATATTGAATTTATTCAGTGTTAGGCTATCCAAATAGCTGAAATTGAAGGCCAGTCACAATTGGAATATAAAACTATGTTATTATGTTTCAAAGAGAGTGTATGGATTGCAAATGAATTTTTTAAAAAAATTTGACTCTAAAAGATTCAAAAGTATCACCAAGTGAAATAGGTAGTAAAGTGTTCTACTGTATTTTTGGAAGACAAAATTGGTTGAATGAAATAATACCTTTTTTTCCTAATACTTACTGGCACATATATGGAAGTATTATTTATGATTCCCATTCAGAATAGGTAAAGAAAATAGATACCAGATATTAAACTTTTCAGGATATTTTTTTCTATAAAATTTCTATTGTACTTTAAATCTATACAGGAAGGCATTTTAGAAAATGTTATGTTTCTGGATCCTTCTTCTTCTCTTTGTGTTCATCTGTCCAACAATTTCATGTCAGATAACATTTGAGTCTCTGGGTGAAAGATCAGTTGGAAACTGCATTTCAACGTACTTACCTGCATTACATACTAAACTTAACATATTTAATTTGCTCACAGGTAAATATATTTTAAAAAAAACATGACAAAACATGACATACCTAAATATGTTTCAAATGTTTCACATGTTAATGATACATGCTAAGTAATGCCACAGTATTTTGTTCTGTCATGACAGTATTTAGATAAGTTTAAAAAATGTTAATGTCATAGGAAATTATTTCATCTTAAAATCTTCTGGGATAAATCAAGTTGTATTGTATATATATTTTTCTTTTTTGGAGAGGGAATTATTTATGGGTTTTAAATATAAATTCAGATTTTATTTATGGCTTTGAAAAGTAACTGTATAAATTTATCAATGCTATTAAATTTGCTTCTCCCTATTTTAAATATCTTTCATGTGAACATTTTTCTCCTTGCACATGACACTATAAATTTGTCGAGATCCTCACGCGTCAATTTAGTGACACTCCCAAGGGTTCTTAAATATGTAGGGAATTCTATTCCCATCACACAGAGGTAAATTGTAAATATCCTCTCCTAAAAAAAGTTTCTGATTTAAAGGATCATTAAACATTAAGGGGAATAGCTATTTCAGATGAAAAGGACAACTACGAAGACGAAGTTCAAAGTTATAGTTTAAAATATTGGGGTCATGGAAGTATGCAGCTGTTCTCATAATGAAGAAATTTTCTTTCATGTTTTCTTGTTCAGCATCTTTGAAATAATGGTCATTAAAAAAGCTTTATTTAGATTATCTATATTTCTATGGGCAAAAGAGAGAAGCAAAAATTCTCACAGAAAGCACTATCATTCAAAATAGGAAATCATGATTTGTCATTCACTCTGAACTATATCTGTTGACTAAATCCATTTTCACCTACTTACACCAAAAACAAATATCTAAAGTGAAAAAAACTGATTATATGATCCATACCCATATCTAATAAAATAGAAATGTGCACTTTTTGACAAGCTTATTCATAACACATTCTGATAAAAATTTCCATTTGCTACTCTCAGCAGGAAAAATAGGCTTTTAAAGGAAAGCTTTTATTTTATGCTGTCACCAAAATAACAATTACAAGGAAAATAGGGATAAAACATTTAAAAATAAGCTTAGGACTTGTTATAAAAGTCTGCAATCCAGTTTTTGCCCTGTTATCTGGTTTGAAAAATTAATCCGAGTAATCCTCTTTGAAGCTCACTGTTTCCAGGATGGGTTATCCAGAACAAAGACTAACTGCTATCCCAAGGGCATTAGTTTTCAGTGTTGTTCTATTCCACTGAGAATGATTCTCCAATGGCCACGGTTTCTTCTTCCCAGGCTATGGGAATTCATTAATATCTAGAGACTAGACTTAAATAAAACCATTGTCTCAACCAGCAGGTTTATGCAACCATCCTGAAATGTTTTAATTATTGTTTTCTTTTCCTTTTTAATTAAGAGACCAGAGGTCAAGCAGGCCCACTGGGAGCTGAGCGGAGCCTTGGTGGAAATGTAAAGGCAACTCTAACGATGGGACTTGCTGTTTTTTGTCTTGCAGAACCAGAAGAGTGCATTAATTGCACAGATGAATGCCGAGTGCTTGGTCATTCTGACAGGTGTTGGATGCCACAGTTCCCTGCAGCCAATCAGGCTGAAAACGCAGATTACCGCACAAATCTCTTTGTACCCACAGTTGAAGCTAATGTTGAGACTGAGACTTACGAAACTGTGAATCCCACTGGGAAAAAGACCTTTTGTACATTTGGAAAAGACAAGCGAGAGCACACTATTCTCATTGCCAATGTTAAACCTTATTTAAAAGCCAAACGTGCCCTGAGCCCTCTCCTCCAAGAGGTGCCCTCAGCATCAAGCAGCCCCACCAAGGCGTGCATGGAGCCTTGCACCTCAACGAAAGGCTCTCAGGATGGTTGCGAAGCGAAACCGGGAGCCCTGGCCGAAGCAAGCAGCCAGTATTTGCCCACTGACAGTCAGTATCTGTCGCCCAGTAAGCAACCAAGAGACCCTCCCTTCATGGCTTCCGATCAGATGGCAAGGGTCTTCGCCGATGTCCACTCCAGAGCCAGCCGGGATTCCAGCGAGATGGGGGCCGTTCTCGAGCAACTTGACCACCCCAACAGGGATCTGGGCAGAGAGTCGGTGGATGCGGAGGAAGTCGTGAGAGAAATTGATAAGCTTTTGCAGGACTGTCGGGGAAATGACCCTGTGGCTGTGAGAAAGTGAGAGGAGGAAAACAAACAACAACAAAAAAGCATTGGCATTTTCTGATCTCTTCTGTTGATGTAAAAATGATCCCTCCTGGTGACAACCTGGTTGAGGGATGAACAGACCAATGCTGCTTTAAGGCTTTCCGTGAACATCTGAAGTGCCCACAGTATGTCCTTTTCACTGCTATTTTTTTTTCAGAGATAACAATGGTTGTGTTTTGACCAAACTTATATTAGGACAGAATTGATGATGCTCAAAGAGGAAAGAAAAACAGAAGAAAAAGGAGGATGAGGAGGCAAGATACCTTTTGACAATCTGTTAGGAGGTATGCGTGGGAGAAGTGAAGTGTTCCTGATCACTGTAAGACTGTCCTCCGTGACTTATGCTGACTCCACTGTTTACCTATAAACCCCATACAAAGCAGGGTCATAATGTGTGCTCTGTGGTGGATTTTTAGCAGTCATCACAGGCTTCTACTGAAAGTCCCGCAAAGACCTTGCAGTAGTCCAAGCTACACCAAACATGAATACATATTTGTGGTAAGCATTTCTGTATAAAGTTACCTGCCACACATATCAACACAAAGAACATTCCATATCATTAGTTGAAAAAAAATTTTAAAAATACTTGGTCATTTGTAAGACACCTCATGTCGTATAAAAGTTAAGTGTAAAAAGATATAGTCCATTTTGTCCTGCACACACACAGACTAATTCACTTCATGAAAAGAGGAGAAAATTTGACTTTTTGAAATTTCTCTTTAGCATTTTAGTGTCCAACAAATATATAAATAATGATAGATCTATTTTTAATTTGAGCTAGAAAGATTCTGAAAAAATAGTTCCCATTGAGTAATACTATTCAGAGAAAATTAACATGATTAATGTGTTTTACTTATTTGTGGACACTAAAATAGCTTAGGAAAGGGAAAATGTCTTAGACATACACAAATCACATGATCATTTATATGTGCAAATGTAAGAAGATTCAATGTGTTTACATCAAATGACATATTTTTATTGATTTATTGCAGATTCAGTGCATATGAGCCAAATTGTTGAGTGTATAAGAGCTATATTGTGTATTTTATTAAATTAATATATAGTTGTGTTGCAAAAATATTTGGGCTTATATTGTAAATGGCAAGTGTTGCCTCAGTAGCTGTCGAACTCTATGAGTTTTGTTTTTTCCTGCTTCCTTTTCCCCATGGAGTGTGGGAAGCAGTGCCTCAGAGCAAAGTCTCTTGTTTAATGTATAGTCTACCAAGTACTACAGTACATAATCTGTTCAAAATGTGTTTGAGTGAGCCGATGGAGCTATCTGAAAGGTCAAAAAATACATCTGTCAGTCATGGTTATGTGCAAGTCCTTGTAGAAGCTTTTATTAAAGTCATGCTAAATCACAAGAATGGCATTTGTACCAATACCTGAAATTTCTTCATGTTTTCTCAATAACATACAGTTTCTGCCTCTGTAGATATCATACTGTTGATTGGTTTTAAAAGTATCTTATGTGGTTCAAGATGTGTGTTCCCCTTGATTTCAAAACCATGAAAAATGCTTTAATGCATGTGTGATACCAGCCCTGGTTATTTGCATTGTGTAGTGTTTTTCAAGAGGCCTGGGTCTTAACAGAATGTTTTCCATTTTTCTCAATGTGCTTCTGCCTCTTTTTATTGGTGTCCTTTGAGAAAAATACACCTCCTATTCCTTCATTTGCTTGCACTTTTTTTCTTGTGTCATTTAGCAAGTTTCAAACTTACTTCCATGTGAGGCTAGGAAACCTCAAATTTCAGGAATTGGGAAAAATAAAATTAGCACTTGCAGAAGTAGCAGCAGATGGGAAAATGCCTTGATTGACATTTTCCTTCAGTGTTAAAATTTTTTGGCATTTTACGGCTTCATGACAAACAGCTTCCAGCCCATACCTTAGAAAATGTGGTGCTGAGTTAAATAAAGGCTGTTTGTGCACTGGAGCAGAAAAATGCATTATTTGCAAACTGGTGGAGAATTCTGTGCCTTCTTTTCTGGCCACCAAGCCAGTGTAGAAACAGCATAAATGTCATAAAATTCCTAGATTAACAAAAACAAGAGTGAAAACAAACACTGAACTGAAGTAAATTTTGTAATTTTAAACCTCAACGAATTCAACTGAAAGTATTTCCCTCAAATGCTGTCAAGATTTTAGACTGTACCTCCTTTGCAAATTGCTTTGAAAGGAAGAGTGAACAACTCCCATCAGCCTTATTCTCTGGGGAACTGTATTTGGTTCCTAGTAACAGCCTTTCCAAAGCTCTATTATTGGTTTTTATCATTTGTAAATGTTTAAATTAGAAAAAAAGGGATCTTGTACATGTGAAACCGAATTGACTGTCTATGTTTTGGACAATTTATGTATCTGAAATGTGTTGTCTCTGTTATATGATGTTACTTTTTGCCGGGAGACCACAGGTTGATTTAGTTTGATAGCAGACATTTGATGGATTTCCATTTAGTCTTACCAAGTGTTGCTTCTCTCTTACTAGACAGATAGCCACTTAGTAAAATCTAAGGCAGTATGTAACTGACATAAAAAAGAGATTAGGGTTTATTTTTAAAACATTCTTAACTTTGAGTAACCAGTTGTTCAATTTAGTATATGTGTCTGAAGACATTACAATGCTATAAGACTTTAAGACTTGGTGTGCCAATGTGTGAGGGGTTTCGCTTTCGGCTCTCTGTCACCAGTGATTTACTAGTGTTAGCTGTTTAACACGTTATCTGCATTTAGTAGTGGTTATTTATTTGCAAGTTGGTGGTAATTCAGCAGTCAGGACTCTAAGCTTTTTAACTGAATTGAGGGAATCTTGCTCTTCTTCATGCTGGCAACTACCTTTATCACAGACCTCTGGTGCTTGACTTCCAAGGAAGTCTATGAGATGCCAAAATCACCCTTTTGGGGAGCAACTTGCTCTAAGAGGTGATACACAATCCAACATCGATGTTTCAAGGGGTTTCAGCATCATTCAGAATATATAAAATTAATTCACATCTCCATTTACTAACCCTCAGAAAAACTCCACACATTCAAAATGAATACTTTGATGATACTTTTTCTTTTAGGTTCTTAAATAACTGATGTCAAGCACAGAATAGTAATTTATATGAATTTTCATAAGAAAGTCAAAGTTTTAAAAATTGTTTACTGATGAACTAAAAAAATCAGTAACAAAATCTTTCCATAACATGCTAATGATGAAAGATCTTTTCATCAAAGTTAAAAGTAGTAAGAATCAGTGTTAGTTATACCTATACCAAAGTAAACATTAAAGAGACATTTCACACAATTTCAAACAATGCTTTCATATTATTTCTTAACCTGACATCCAATTGCAGGCAATATACAAAGATTGGCTCACTGCTCTATTAATTAATTGAATTCCTGATTTGGAAATTGACTTGTTTTGTTTTCCTAAATTAGCAGAGATCTTGTAAAATATGACTTCCCTGTAAAAGATCTAGGCACTGCTCAATTTAAAAAATGACACCATAAAAATATGGTCATGTAGTAAGAGAACAGTATGCTTTATTAGAACCAGGTTAAAAACTGTTCATTGCCTAATGGAGTAGAAGTTGCTGAGGTCAACTGGGAAACTGAGGTCTGGCATAATACATGCCCACTCATCATTGTCTAATTATATTATATCATTTTGACAACAGACAGCATTTATTAGAGCATTAATTCAAATGAGAGTTTTGGCTATCAAGATGTGTTTTGAAACATAATTGAATGAGACCTGATTAAAGGCTGACTTTCCTGGCCCCAGTGTTTTGCAGGTTGGCTATTTCCATATATCAACTCCATCACACCATAAGGTTCTTAGCTGCACCAAGTGATTGGTGAACAAAGACAACAACAAAAGCAGCATACATTTTATGGATTTATCTCAATGCTATTATTTAATGGCTGTGTTTATGTGACCTATCTGGAAAATGAGGACTCCGAATAAAAAGCTATTACTAATAGTGGCATTGCATTCCCTTGGATTCATTAACACACAAGTGATGTGTTACACACTGCATGCCCCAGGGATCCTGGTCATAATTAATTTGGGAAGCAACTGTGGCAGCACAACTGTTTATGCTAGTGATTTGTTTGCCAGTAAAATAAGATTTTAAAAAATTTTATGTAACAATAATGTCACTAAGTTCTCTCAGAAATGGGTTAACAGTCATCCAGATTGTTTAGATAAGTTGACTAGTCAATTTCCAGGGATTCATACTATAAAGAAACTTGTGGTTTTTAATATTTAAAACTGGTTTGAGGGTAATTTGGTATAAGATCCTACTACTCCAGGATTTTAGAAATAAGCCCTCTCATAATCTTACATCATTGAAGAGAGTACATATTTATAAATGACATTTTAAAGTAAATACATGTTCTTCTTAGCAACTTAAAATAATAAGCTTCTCTTTCTACTCATTCAACAAACGTCTACTGAATTTCTGTTGTGTGTTTGCCATGGGCTGTTATGCCCCAGGAGTAAACAGTAAACGAGGATTGATGCCTGGGTCACAGCCTGGTGAGAGAAACAAATAGGTAAGTTCTAATACACATGACTGTTTATAAATTGGTTTTAATTGTTTGCATTTTCCTCAGTTACTCCACAATCTGACTCTCAGTGAGGGGCATCTCCTAAATTACAAATCAACATAATAGTCTGCCCATTTAGATTTTCTTTTAATTTTCTTGTGAGGGCATAACTTATATCAAGAAAATTGCATTGCTTTTTCATACTGAAGAAGATGTTTAAGTTTTACAGTAATTGGGATAGACTCCATGGCTTATCTACTCAGTCTTTTGCTCATTTTATTTGTCGACCTCTCTGTTTCTTTTTCATTGAGCATCACTTAGGTATCAAGTGTTTCACAAGGACCCTGAGGTACAAAAAACTACACCAATTACATTTTACCCTCAGAGTACTTATAGTTTGTGCCTAGGTGATATACATTACACTAAAATAGAAATTGACCTTATGTTGCCATGACAACATTACTTTTGTGTAATGAAAATAAATTCATTCTTAAGAAGAACAAAAGCTACCTGCCTATCATGCCATTCACTGCTTTCAAGAGTGAAATGAGAGCAAGCTGTTCATTGACTCAATTGAACCGTCTGATCAGTGTTGAGAGAGCACTGAGTTGCTGAAATGAAGAACCTACCTGGCCATGCTACGGTCAGGAGGAAGTGATGAATGAAACATATATTACAGGCTTACTTCATGGCAATGAACGATGGAAGTCCCATGAATTATGTTTTTTAAGTAGATATGCTCACAAGTTACAATTATTTAGTAATTGTAGACAACAACTCTTTGTAAAATATGAACAGAACCCATTCTTAAAGTTCATCAATGTGGCACACAGAAATAAATCAGCAAGTTAATGGACCATCCTCAAACCTCTTCAGTATGTGTTTTTGAGATGGTTGAACATGGTTCACCAAGGAAATGTATCATTTTCTGCTCATTTTAGACACTATAATACTGGACAAGCCACTGGACATTAGGAATTAAATTCTCAATATTCTTAAAAGAGGGTCCCCATTTTTAGTATTTTAGAGTCATAAAATATTACTGTTTTTTTCCAAACTAGTTTAAATGGTAATGAGTATCTTACATGCAAAGATGGATTAAGGGGGGAAGACTTCAGGGAGCATTTGCAAACTGTCTCACACCAGTTGACATCACCCATTAGATCAAGATAACTATTCTATTTTTGTCTTACAAATGAAACACTTCACTTTAAGAGGAACTTAATATTTATTCCCCTCCTTTTTATACACATTAAATTATCTGTAACATTTTAATAAATAACATTTTGAGTATGATTTATATTTAAAAATCTAGTTGCCTGAAGTTATGTTACTCAGTCAAACTGTTTCATAATATTTTTTTATGATTGCTAAAAAACAAACATTAAATTTGGAACCCTTTCTCTGTTCACTTTATACAGATTGTCATATTTCGTGGAAAATATTGGTGTTCATTATTGCTTGCATGAAAATCATTCTTACTTCCCTAAGGGTTTTCAGCACCAGGAAGACTGACTAAGAGTTACACAAATATAAATTAATACTGATACATTCTGCTTGTAGAGAACTTTCCAATTTACAGAGCATTTTCACAAAATTATAAGACAGTACAGAGTTAAGGATTCTGAAGCTTAAAAAGGCAAGTGCACTTATCCAAGGACATTAAGCTAGGAAACCTTAAGACCACACTTGAACTGAAAGTCCTGTTGCTGTGTTTGTTTCAGATTTTGTGAATCTGCAATCTTGTCCTATCTAATCTTTTGCCTCTCTAGTGTCTTAAATTTATCATCTGAAAAATTATATTATGCTAGTAATATTCCTCCCCCTATAAATTAACAGTCACATCATAGAAT